GAACGTGTTGTGACCTGTTCCAAATATTCAGTGATTTAGCAAATCAGGATTTATAAATTCAAGTTTTAGAGAAACAATTGGAGTTCTTGATTAGACTTCGATAAACTAAATTTTGAAGAAACAAGTTTTGTTTTTGAAATTAGTGCAAACAGTCCGAAAGTTACGGAAAGTTGAGAACCTGCGCTTTTGGCTGGAAAACCGTTTAAACTTCATGTTTTACGCTTAAATTAAAGCATTATGAAAGTTCAAAGAAATGCGAGGGTGCAAATTTTTTGTGGTGAACAAAATCGAATTGATCTCATGTACACGAAATATTGTGAATTTCATACGCCATGAATAAGGGAACTTCCCTCATTCCCTCAGGGAAGGGTGAAGAAATCAGAGTCAGAAAGGATCTTACTCTTTTGAAATGGTTCGAAATCAAGAACATGTTGGCCCCAGATGTGATGCACCTTCCTTGAAAAATCATCCCCAGCCCGAGGGCCATTTCCGCCATAAGGAAGAAGCTGGCCTGCACACTGGGTAAGAACCTAATCAGCGTGACATGTGTGAGGACTTGCAAGACGAGCAGGCCGCTTTGAAATGCCGGCCACAAAACCCCCGCTGCGGTCTCGTTGTGAAGAATGTTGAGGAGTTTAAGGGATGAGAATAAGTGCAACCTGCGCACGATTGAGATGTCCCGGTTGTCAAATTTCCTAAAAGGAAGGTCACAATTTAGATTATTACATTTTAGTGGAAGTCTGCAGACTTAATAATTATCATTGCGTCAAATCACAGGACAGTCCTTGGCAACATTGGAACACGTAAATTTACAAAATTTTACAAACATGTTTCATGAAATTAGCTGACTTATTTTTGTTCTCACAATGGGTACGCAAACGATGTATAATCTTGACAATTTTTTCCCATGAGAACTTGACATTTGGAAACAACATTTATCGATTTAGCATTTAGCGAAACAACATTTGCGATAAATTCAGTAAAACTCGGTATCATGATGAAATTCCCGAACTGCACGGATTCCGAGCGGTTCATCGAACTTGCTGCCCATAACGCTCTGAATTTTTGGCACCTGTGCATTACATAAATGTTGTTTCTAAAAAGTTTTTTTATATCGGCAATGATATGGTAAAGAAACTGGGCTAAACATTGTCTGTGTCTCGATTTTCAGATCAAAGCCGTTCATTTACTTTATATTTCCAATTTTGTAAAATACGCTTATCAAACCAACGGATTTTGCAATTTGTGGGTAGTAATATGTTGGTCGGAGTAAGACGAGTGGGAATAAATAGAGAAGAGCTGGTCCAGGAATCGAACTTGGGACCTCACGATATCCGGTCGAGCACCTTAACTACCGAGCCACAAACTGCTCTCCATAACTATGCCGCCCCCTTTCCAACCAACATATCACGCTTATATGATAAATATTCTCTCAAAAAGTTACCAGAGACTACATGAATTACTTAAATACCCGTTCTTCACAACTTCCAGCCACAAGGTGTTAATTTGTACGTAGCAAAATAACATCGACACGGTCAGCCCGACAGCAAAGCTTAAGACGTAGTTCAGTTTTACTTCGTAGCAGACAAACAGCACAGTTACGAGGAGGTTATCATAGACTGATCGAGGGATTAGTTGAGACCCCCAATACTGAGGGTGATGTCGATCCTTAATTTGTTGCGGAACGTTGCCAACAATTGGGTAGAAGATCGACACAAGCGTAACAATGAGGACGAAACCAGTCGCACTGTGGTACCTGGACGAGGAGGAATGTGAAATTCCAAATTCTCCTGAAATTATAAATATTTTTTTAAATTGTTATGTTAACCATTTTTATATTCAAAGTTTAAGGCATGATATTTTATTTAAACCAATGTGTCATGCCGTGTCACAACAAACTTTAGGACATTTATGACATTTCGACATGTCATGACAAGTGACATCCTAACAACCCTAAATTTATCTAAGGTTTTGAAAAACTGATTTTTACATTGTCCCGATATTTCATCCCGGTTTCGATTAATCAGATTGATGAAAATCTTTGAAAAACAGTTTTTGATTCGGTACCAAAACGGATTTTTAAAATCGAATTTTCGGAAACCGGTTTTAGATTAATTACGTAACCGGGTTTAAACCGGTTTTTAAAATCGGTTCAACTTCAAATTTAATTTACTTCACTGCTCATAACCAAAAATTAGATACAAAATTAAAAAATGTCTAATTAAATATCTGTAAACTTCGGGCACGATGTTTGCAAACAATTATATAATCCATTCTCTATAATTAGAAACATTAAATACCAGCTCCATATTGTGTAGTTTGTTTTATTAAAAATCAGAAACCGGTTTTCGAACGTCGTTTTTTTTGAAAAATTGTAAAATCAGTTTACCATTAAATCGAAGACATGCTGTTAACCGCTTTTAAAAATTCGGAAAAATACGATACATATTTATTACATAGATGCCCACGAATTTAAACTGGGTGAGTAATGAGCATTCAGACACATGAAAACTTAATTACCTAGCACAAAACCACCTGCTAGAAATAATTTTATTTAAAAGATATAAAAGAAATATGTAAATATAAAGAAGAAATCAGAAGAAATAAGTAATAAAGAAATATGTTCATAAAGATATTTCTTTTTCCTGTATGTGTGCAAAAAAATTACATATGTGCAAGTTATTGTGTAGTGGTGTATACGAGTGTAACACTCGTTGCATATCACAGCAAGAGATTGTAAAAAACACCAGATGCAAGAAATATGTATACACCACTACACAGTAATTATTTGGTGTATCTATTACACTGCGCAATAGATACACAAAATATTTTGTTATCGTAGAACATCATACCAGAAAAACTGGTATACCAGTTTTTCTTTTCTTACTTCTCAGATTTGTATCCAGTTTAATGACACTGTTAAAAAACAGACTGCATCGCTTCTTCCTTAGAAACAATTTCCACTCGATTATTCCAATGCCAGATCGAGAAAGTACGTTTTCCAGGTCAAACAAAAGGTCGCGTGGTGAGATTTCTTGGATCCAGAGAAAAAAGTTGTAAAAAATCGATATAAGCAGTCCAAGCTCAAAACGAGCAAAGTTACGAAAATTAATGAAACCGAAGTTATGTTGTTTATCTACGCAGATATGTAAAAATACAGAGTAATGTGCATATAAATATGGTTTCTATTAATCACACTGGTAGAATCATTAATACATACACATGTACATACATATATCTGTATCTGTATGAATGATTACAGCTTGATATTAATTTATTTATGTAAAATTGGATTACTCTAGAAGTGTTTAATTTGAGAAAATGTCTTGGTAGAAGGATTAAGAATAGTACGTCTTCATTACCTGAAATTTTGCCGCATTCATTTCGTACTTTAGTGACACCGAGTTCAGATAATTGCCAAATTTTAACAAAACCGCAGTACTTTCAATCCAATGTGGCGGTGTTTTTCTGGAAAATTTTGTGGATTTTTGGAGCGACCTCCACATCTTGTGGATTGTGTATGACAACCCTAATTTTTGACAAGCTCCCACCATGACATAAATACCTAATTGGGCGCAGTGCTTGTGTTATTTGTTGGCAGGTATGGTACAACATATTTGTTGAATTTTTAGAATTTAACGGCTACACTCAAATTTTAAAACGTCACCGGAACTGAAATTCTTTTAAATATGTATTTTGATAGAAAATATTTCCACATTTTTGATATGCTTTGTGCATTCACAGCGGTACACCGTGACCATGATGGTGTGTATAAGCAAAGTTATATTCGTGACTCTCAGCAAATAAAATATTTCCAAGTACATGTTCTGTATAAGAGATGCTTGACTAGAATGCTGCATTTTGTAAATGTGAATGTTTATGTATACATATACTAAGTTTTGTCTTTTATTCGATTAACTTTTTTTCTCTTTAAATATTAACGATTGGTTTTGCAAAAATTCAATTCCTTTCATTTTAATCCAATCAAAATGTAAACTTAATCAAGATCATGCAATTTTCCATACCGAATAATTCAGGCGTGTACGTGTACCAGTCTACGTGACTGAAGATTGTGTGCATGTATGTATATGTATCTGGAAAAAATATATGCGGAATGTAAATATGTATATACATGAAGTGAAGACTTACTAGAATAAATTTCTGGACAACGTTACACTTAAAAATGTGGTAAAATCACACGTTTATGATCATACGTATAACCTTCGTTACGGTGTTGATTGGGTGATAACGTTTCCGCGGGTTGGCGATAGTTAGCTTCGGAGTGGTAATTTTTCACCATAACTACGGTATATTTGAGTCTATGTCGATATCGTGATGCTCGCTATTCACTTGCCGGTGAAGGCATTTACATATTATGTACTCGGATCGGTTAATTTCAATAACATTTTGCTAAGAGTGGAGCTGTTCTGCACCGGAAAAGATTCGAGGTCACTTTCGTTATTTTATCGATTTATTTACTAAGCCCTTGTTCTAGACGGACGTATAAAGTTAGAGTATGATGAATTCAAGGAGCATTTGTTTGAGTATGTATTTCTGTAGATTATTTATAAGAATTATTTTTATCAATTTGGTAGACTTATTAGTCGCGCGCTATAACTTTTCTCCGTCTCATACACAAATTCACGGTATCTAAAACATAGTCAGCCTACACGGGAAGTATACCGTTCAAATGGGTATGAGACGGAGACATGTTATAGCGCGCGGATAATATTATTGTAAATTTCATAAATTAACAAGACAATTATCGAAGTTAGAAAGCTCTAGCAATAACTATTCTACAATAAATATTAAACATTGATAAAAAATTTGCTATGTAGCTCTATGGCTGGCTCTATAAAAATAACCTAGTGTATGTATAGTGTATGTATCTAGTGTATGTACGAGTGTTGACAGAGTTAGAAACTAATCAAAAAATTAATGTGGTCAGTAGAACGTTAGCGCAGCTGAATTATAAACGGTAGAAGGATGGCGATGTAACATTATTTCGGCTCTTTGAGTGCCTTCGTTACTAACTCAACAATGTCTGTTATGTTTTCGGAATCAGACACGTCTATAAGAACGTTGTACTGTGTGTGAATTCTGGTTCTCAATTCGATTCGCATTAAAGAATCCATACCTATATCACTCAAGTCCGTATCAATAAGTTTTGAGGGATCTTTGAATCTTAACATTTTTGCGACTAAACTAACAACGGACTGTTCCAAATTCTCAAACTGATTTTTGTTATTTTTACAATTCCCAGATATTTCTTCTCCATGCTCATTCGAAAGAGTCCTGACATGCAATATTACCCACGAAGTTTTAACATCTCCGCTAAGTTCGGCCGCCATGACGTTGTTCCCAATTATGGTTGCGTTTCGAAGAATATGTTCCATTGTACAAATCCCTCGTGCGGTAGAGAATGGGTTGACTCCGAAAACCTTCCTCGCCAAGTCCCGCACCATTCCGGTTTCGCCCCATTGCCCCCAAGCAATGCTTGTTGCGTTGAGTCCGAGTCGGTGCCTGTAATCTGCTAGAGATGCAAGCGCAGCATTCGCAGAGGAGTAATTTGCTTGCCCCGGGCACCCAAGAATCCAGGTGGCCGACGAATACAGTACAAAATGCTCTAGATTAAGGTGAGACGTTGCAGCATGAAGGGCCCAGGCACCATCCACCTTCCCTGTCCATACGAGATCGATCTTCTCCATTGTCATATTTGGGATCGTCGCATCCGACAAGGTGCCTGCTACGTGGAAAATACCCCTAAGAGACGGCATACCGAATGATGAAATTTTTCCAAGTATCTCATCTACCCCGGCACGTGTAGAAATGTCACCATATTCCACAACCACACTCCCCAATTTGTCGTCAGCATAACTAGAATGACCATCACGGTCCTTAAGTTTTGAGACGACGGCCTCTCTCCCGTCATGACGTCTACTCACTAAAACAAGATGTTTAGCCCCATTGGCCAACATCAATTTAGCAAGCTCAATCCCCAGCGCCCCGCATCCGCCGGTTAGCAAGTATGTGCTTCTATCATTAAAAATATTTTCCGTCCACCTTATGACTACTTTTCCTATGTGGGCCGCACTTTGTAGGTGCCCGAGGGCAGAAATTATTGCTGCTGGTTCAAAAACCGAGTAAGCTATAGGTAGCAGTTTCCCATGGGCCAACCAAGTTTCCATTTCATGTGCTAGGTAGACTGTTCGCTCTTCGTCGCGACTACTGAGGTCTACAATCGAGTATTTCACATCAGGTCGAAGTTGTTCAACTTCTGCATGGGTCCAAACATTCAGTTTGCTCATCTCTATGAATCGCCCTCCTGTTTTCGTCACTGAAATTGAAGCCTCTTTCCATCCTTTTGAGGTGAGTGAGTTTAGGACAAGGTGGACCCCAGCGTTATCGGTTGCGGTTTTCACTCCGGCTAGAAAACGGGGGATATCCCTGCTGCTAGTTACATTTTTCAGGCCTAGGATGTCTGTTAAGTAAGCTCTTTTCCTGCGGCTACCAGCCGTACATACAATATTGGCCCCTATTTCCCGCGCGATCTGAATTGCGACAAGGCCAACTCCTCCAGATGCGGTGTGGATCAAAACCCATTCTCCACGACTCAAGTTGCCAACCGTGACAAGGGAGTGATAAACGGTATAAAACGCAGTAGGCAAGGTGGCCCCCTCCACATGGGTCAAGTTTTGTGGTAATAAAGCCACATGTGATGCATTTATGTGAACAACGTTGGGCAGAGGGAGTGGTTCCAGGCTCATTGCAAGAACGTTCGCACCAACACAAATGCCACGAACGGCCGATCCCACTGCAATTACTTCTCCACAAATATCTGATCCTATGGCGGACGCTGATGCAAATTCCAAAGTTGGTTTTCTGATAGACAAAATATCTCTGAAGTTTAATCCGGACGCGTGGACCCGGATTTGAATCTAATTACGGAGGGTATCCATAAATTAAAATACATTACTAAAAAACAAATTGCTTCCCATACGACTCGACATTCACACGCACTTTAAGTTTAACAGAAATTGACCATTGTGAGTAGCTACATAAGTACTCCAAGCCTCAATTCCCTTGCCTTATCATAATAAAAGTAGCCAATAAACTGATATGATATCGGCAAGGGCAGGGGATAATTCTCCATTTCTGTAAAAGTTTAGCACCGTGTGAGTGAAGGGTATACTACTTTGCTTTGAGTAACTTACGTGGTCGTCGGGAAAGGATTTCTCTGGTCCAAGTGTAGTTGAATAGTCCCATTGTAAGTCCTCGAGGGCGCAGGATTGAGGAAGTCTTAATTGGACAGGGTTCTCTGTTTGGCTTAGCGGTAGGGTGGCGAAGGGAGACACGAATGGGGCAAACTTTCCTACATGGCGTACTCCCCCTCGATAGGCTACAAATGGCTCCTCGCTACGACCTCGTAATTTTTGTCTATTTTTAATTTCCATGATTATTTCGTTGGCCCGCTGGTTGGCGTCTTCATCGTTATCAAGGTCTATCCACACTATGTCAAGTTCCAGCATTTCGTTTGCGAGAGATCTTGAGAACCCACGTATTGCTCCAGCAACCGGATAGCGGTCCTCTTCATCTCGGATTGGCATGATTCCATGACTCACAAGGAAGATTTCCACCTTTCCAATCGATAGTAGGGCCTGCGAAAATGCAAGGAAGTGCTTCAATTGTTCTCGCTCCTGATTCAACTCCCGAGTATAGTACGTGTGCGAATGTGGGAAGCAATACACGATCTTGTCGCCTGGTTGTACATAAATTTTTTGATTATTAATATTGCACCTTGTCCCATGTCCATTATTTGAAGCTTGTAACTGGTCCGCAAAGTCATCATCATCAGTTGTAGAAATTATAAGGAAAGGTGATGGCTCATCTTCGTTGGCCGTAGCGATAATTACTCCAACATCGAAATCAGTATTTTCTACAATTGATACCTTTTTATACCCTGCAGACTGAAGGGATACCTTCCATGCTTCTCCATCAATTAGGCAGTGGCCTGATCTAACGTCGTCCTTGAAGAGCCAATATCCCTTACAGTGTCCGAAGACGATATCTATGAATGCACATGGGCGGAGTTGTTCGGCGACGAATATGTTACCGCCCTGTCGAAGCAATAAACGCAGATTGCCAAGCACTTTTCCTAGATCAGTAGTGGCATGCAATACGTTCATCGCAATTATGACATCGAATGCTTCTTTTTCGAAGCCCTGTGCAAGGACATCTTTCTCCACGTCTAGGATACGGAAGTCCACCTCCACCCCAGGGACGTGGGGTAAGGAATCTTCTGCTCTATTGAGGAAATTTGTCGAGATGTCCGTGAAGGTGTAAGTTGACGAGGAACCGTGAAGATAGTGTAGAAGTTCTCGTGTAGCCGCACCAGTGCCTGCCCCAACTTCTAAAATGCGCAAACCTGTATAGTTGTTTTTCATGAAAGTGGCAAAGATGGAAATTAAATTTTCGGTTAGAGTGGAACACAGCACGGTAGTCCGGTACAGCCGTTCCGCGGAGAAATCAGGGATTGAAACTGTTTGACTATTAACATTTCCAGTTGGTTGTTCCAATGTGGGAAGGGAGGGAGGGAAGAGGTGATGAAGAATGGATTCCGTTCCACGAAGAAAGTTGTCCAATTTCGAAATGTAAAACTCCGTAAAAGCCCAGTCATCTCGCAAAATGCTGTCCTTATGATGTAAGGGATTCTCGGTCATACCAAAGTCCGAATGCGGTAATGCGACGTATTCTGTTGCGGACACTTCATTCAAGAGGCCTGCCTGACCGGCATAGTGAAGCAGCCTTGCCAAAAAAGCTGGTGCAATGTGACATAAGCCGAGACGGGAAGCAATTTCGCCAAGTGTGAAACTCTCGTAAGGTAAGAAACAGAATCCGAGCAACTTTAATGTTACAGCAATTCGTGTCCTTATGTATGAAGCAATTCGCTTATACTCTTGAATTTCTTCGCTATTCCGGGAGATTGCCTTAAAGGTCGAAAACTGTTCATGTATTCCAGTGCTGCTCATGGAAATAATATTTAATTTGTTCTCTGCAGTCCATTCCTCTATAAATAGAGGTAACACGTTGTCCTCCTCAGCACGGTTATTGGTATTTGTCCTTACGTTAGTCATTCTTTGAATCGCTTCTACGGTTGTGTTGATTGTGGTCAGGTTGGTAATCGAAACCTGGGCATGCCATACTGAATCATTTCCGTGGACAAACAACGTGCTGGAATTCAATCCAGCCTGGACACGAAGCTGATGATCACAAATAGGCTCGAGGTTATCGCCAGCAATATGGTGGGACAGTACATCCACTGACGAAATCTTTATCGGCACCCTCAAAGTTGCCAGAGGACCTGGTTGTGCAATAAGAGCGGCCTGAATTAAAGCATCCAATAGTGTGGGATGAACCACAAAGCTTCCGACTTCATCTCTATCATGTTCAAGTGTCGGTGGTGTTACGTCTGCTGTGACCGAACAACTTGCGGGGAGGTTGGACGATTTTAAATTCACCAATGATTTGAATTGCGGACCGAATTTATATCCCAAGTCTGACATCTCGATATAAGGTGACGGCATTGATGCACCAGTAAAGTTCTCCAGATATTCTTCTTGGTTTAGCGAGCCAAAGCCAGGTTGAACTACTTTGGCATTTAACGATGCGTGTAACTGCCACCCACTGTTCTCAGTCTCCCGCCGGCTGGATATGCAGATGTTGAACATTTCACCATCGTAAATCACATTTGTTTGGATGACTGACATCACATCTAGGGACAGAACTGTTTTAATGACTATGTCGGACAAGTTGATTCCACACAGCTTTTCCTTTCCTATGCTAAGCGTGGTCACAACCGCAAACCCCATCTCCATATATCCAGCTGCAGGAAATATATTGTGGGGCCCTATTTTATGATCCCGCAGCCAGCTTCCCGCTCTGTCCAGCAAGTCCTCCGTAGAAGTTTCAAAGACTGACATACGATTTGTTATCCCACATTGAGCCACCGGGAACATTAAGCCAAGCAAAGGGTGAATAATTTTAGATTTATATCTAACTCCAGCCTCGCATCTTTGAATTGCTGAAGTGTTGAACCAAAAAGGACCCTCATTTTGGAAAGGATATGTAGGTAGAAGATGAGGTACTTTTTTATGCAATATATTGACACCAACCAAGCTGGTCCAGATTTGTGTCCAATCGAGCTCAACACGATGTAGGTACAGAGTAGCGATGGCCTCCGATAAAGTGGTCCAATTCGGAACATTTCTCCTGATTGAGGGAATACAGACGAGCTCAGGGTCAGAGCAGTTCTTCACCATTATAGGACTGATCGCAGGTTGCGGGCTAATTTCAAGAAATAATCTAGCACCAAGGACAGCGGTAGCAGCGACAGAAGATTCAATAAATTTTACAGGTTGTTTAAAGCATCTTGACCAATAAGCAGCACCCAAGTCTTCCGAGTCCTCCAATTTCCGTCCATACGTTGACGAGATATACTCAACGCTACGATGTCGGGTAGAAAATGCTAATTTATCCAGTTCCATTTTAAATACAGTCGATCCTTTCTCAAACGACCGTGAATGATAAGCATGATTAACGTGATTAATAAGGGTGGATTTTATAGCATAATTTGTGCGGACGTAGGTGGCAAATTTTTCCATGGTTTCCTTGGGCCCTGACACAACTGTCTGATTCGAAGAATTAAAGGCTGCAATGTCGATCCAGTCTTCCTCGGATTTATTCCCCAGAATATAGATCGATGAATATTCCTGAATCATTTTTCTTGTCAATGACTCATCTGCCATGAGGACGACCATACGCCCTGACTCCATTGTCTCCAAAACATTTTTTCGTAGGGATGCCATCAGTTGCACTGCGGTAGCTAGATCCAGCTCACCAACAGCTGTAGCTGCGGCCACTTCCCCAGATGAGTGACCAACGACACACAAGTTGGGTTTTACACCCCACTCGATCCACATATTAAATAGTGAGTACTCAACAGCAAACGTGCAAAGCAGAGGACAGAGGGGTATATGAGTATCACCCTTTAGCCATTCAAGGAGGTTTATCCCTGTGAATTGGATGAAGAGGGAGTTTACTTCATCAAAGTGGCGACGGTAAGAAGAGCATGAATCATACAACTCTAATCCCATGCCGACATATTGACAACCTTCGCCAGGAAAGAGAAAAGAAATAGGAGTATGTCCAGCGGTCGAGTTTCCTTTGGGCTTCTTTCGACCAACTGACTCGGAGTTGTCCAGCCGCAGAGCTTCAATTAGATCGGAACGGTTGCTACCCATTGAAACTGATCGATATTCATCAAAGTGGTGTCTACACGTGGCCGCCGAGTAGCAGTAGGCTGCTAATAGGTCGTCGCCATCTACAAAAACAAAAGAATTATGAATTGTGTTAGTTATGTATGCATGCAAAAAGTAATTCGAAAAATATTCATGAATGATAAAATCATTTCGCAATCCGGATTTTTCGAAATTCTAATTTAATCCGCTTTGAAAAAATAAAAACGACGCATCAAAAACGCACGAAAAATTTTAGCTAGCCTGAAAGTTTGGCCGAAATCGCTTATTTCAACATTATCTACTCCGCACTGTAAACTTTGTTGCTAAAAATAATTGCGAAATTATGGATTTTAGTAGTGCTACGATTTCTAACAATATGCAACGGCATAAGAATATTCGTGTTCTCTTTCAGAAACAAGTGGTCAAGATTAAAATTTCAGGATTCTTGAAATTTTAAAATTCAAAATCAATAGAGGCTTTTTTAATAGCTTGGTGAAATAATTTCTCCGCAGTCATTTTACCCGCCGGCAGCGGCGCTTGAAATCGATTAAAAATCTCTGATTGGAGCTCTGACTTGGTGTAGACATCATCAAAAGAAAGAGTCTGAAGGATTGCGTGAAAGGATTCGGTCAATTATTAATTATATTTCAAAATTACCCTGCTCCACCAACAACTCCAAAGCCTCGGCATGCTTATTTCTCAAATCTGTAAGTGCGGTAGCAGACTTTGCTGATATGGGGAGTATGTAGAGCGGTACACGTTTGTTGAAGGGCAGATTACTTATTTCTGTTGGTAGTTGACGGACACGTTCCACGATTAAGTGAGTATTAGTACCCGAGATGCCAAATGAAGAAACGCCGGCAAGTTCCCCCTTCCAGCCAAGTGACTCTCTCGGTATTATTAGCCCTTTAAAGTCGATTTCTGGATTGAGGTCGGCAGTTAGAAGTTGAGGTGGAATGGATTCGTGCTCCATTGACAAAAGGACTTTGAGCAGGCCAGCCCCTCCTGACACGCTTTCCGTATGGCCAATATTCGCCTTGATAGAGGTAATGATCAATGGTCGCGTTCTTTCGCCTGACGATATTTGGTATGCTAGTCTAGTAGATGCAACCTCGACGGGATCACCCACGCGAGTTCCGGTTCCGTGCATTTCCACCCAATCGATATCCACCGGATTGACCTCTGCATCTGCAAGGGCCAGTAGCATAGCTGCTGATTCGCCTTCCACGGTTGGGGTACCTACGTTTCGGCTTAGAGTATCTTGCGAACATCCGGAGCCCTTGATGACTCCAAGAATGTGATCGCCATCCTTTATAGCATCCGAAACTCGCTTAAGAACGTAGATAATTCCACCATCCGCCCTTGCAAAACCGTCAGCATCTGCTTGATAAACCTTACACCGACCAGCGGGGGATAATACTCCCTGTAATAACAAAAGACACAATTTAAACGAGTACGATTAACCTTATAGCCCATAAAAAATCACGTGATGCATTAGAGTTATTGCTATACAACACATAAAAACAAAATTTTGCAAAAAGGATTGTCAATAAATCAAAAGTAGGGTCTAACTTTTATTCGTTACCCTAGGAATTTACCTGGAAATCGTGGTACTCGTAAGGTTTCACGATGAGATTTGCTCCGCCAGCAAGGGCCAAATTTGACCTTCCGCTTCGCAAATGACGAATAGCGGCATCAATTGCGCAAAATGATGAAGAACATCCGGCCTCAATGCCTTCGGTCGGACCTGTTATTCTGAAAAATTGAGCAATCCTTGCTGCAGCGTTCCCTATTGAGCACCCCAGGTAACGGCGTAGCTCCTCCCCTCCTTCCGTAGATCCAGAAGACAACATCAGATCCTTATACTCATCCCTCCAACTGCCTACATGCACAGAAGACGAAGTTCCACGTAGGGAGTATGGGGGAATTCCGGCGTCCTCGAGGGCCTAGAAAGGCACAGATATTTGAATATTTAAGACCAAATTTACAGAATCCAAGGAAAGTCGACACATCAAAACGCAGGCTTTCCAGCAAGAATGTCACCCAGCTAATACAAATTATCAATTTTCCAGTACCTACCTCCCAGCTCAATTGTAGCATAAGCCTGGCCTGTGGGTCGATGAAACCCAACTCCAAGGGTGACAGTCCCCAAAAATTGGCGTCAAATTTACCCACATCCCAGTCAATGAAACCCGCCTTTATTGGCACACTTTCCTTTTTAAGCCTTCGACACCCCTTCTCCTTTGTCCACCTGTTGCTTGGCACCAAACCGACCGAGTCCTTTGCACTCATCAAATTACCCCACAACGTGTGCCTATTGTTGGCCCCAGGCAGACGAAATGCCACCCCAACAATTGCGATTGGTTCCTTAGATTTCCCCCCTGCCTCTCTCTGGGCTCCCTTCACGTAGCGGAACATATTTTGAAACAATTTGTGCTTCAAACGTATTCAATGAATGATACAAACAAGTTTGGAAGAAAATCTTTAATTCGTTCCTGGTGAAGAGTAAAAACAGCTCTGAGCTTGGCAAGGAACAAGGGCTGCTATTATAAATGTTATTTAATTTTTGACTTCCCTGTACAACGACTCAAGCTCAATCGCACCTTGTAATTAAAAAATTTAGTGCCAAATTTCACGCTTTAAATCTTGGCCCAGATTAAGCAGAAATCCTCAATCTGATTCAATAAGGTATGCAGGATGCGGTATGGGGTGATAGGTATCGCCGACACGTACGCAAAATTAGCGTTTACATATAAATTTTTTAACTGAGGTACAAATTAAAGAGTGGTGTGATACAAATAAGGTACCATGTAGACCATGCGGAATAAAATGCGGCGGTAAAAATAAGGGCATTTTATTAACACTTGAAGTTGAAGCATTCACACTAAAAAATAAGATCTCTTATTTTGTGGACAATATGGAATTAATTTCTACGCAAAATGCTAAGCTTATCACAATTCACAAGATTGTATATCGTGTCAGTGTAATTCGTCCAAAACTACCTAAGGATGCAATCCCCACCCCACCAAATAAAATATTGGAATATATGTGTGACATGGGTGACAAAAAATGTACCCAGAAACCCTTAGCGAACACGCCGCCTTAAGGAGGGGTCAAATAAAAGGTTTATGTATAAAGTGTTTCAGAGACGGAAATCCGAAATTGTCCTTAATCTGCCAAACCCTTTGGGTCATGGTGAGTGGGAGTTTACGTAGATTTAAAAATCTCCTGGTCACGCCACTTACTTAGGTACAGTCAGAAATGAAAAATGCTTGGTGTTATTAGATATAAAGTAAAATTTTTAACTTTGTCCATCCGTCCGTCCGTCTGTCTGTGAGGAGGCAAATGGGAGAAGAAATCGAGATAACCACGATGGGTTTATGAGCCGAACAGGAAAATTCTATGAATTTTTGGGGTCACGACCTAGGCTCCCCCCTCCCCCCCCCCCCCCCCCCCGTCTCGCCTCAGGCGTTAGCAACACATAATCGGGCAAATTTCCGGTTGCACCCTATTATTACATGTCCTTCCTACACTCTAATTTTGACACTTGGGTTATAAGAGTGTAGTTTGAAGGCTAGTACCTGAAACTACCTAAACTAATAGTACCTGATATTACCTGAAACTGAGAGGATATTAAATATTAAATCATCTCGCTTCAATAATGCACTTCACTTTTTATTTTTATCCAACATCATAAAAATATATGAAGGTACACTCTTAGAATTCTGACAGGTATTTTTTCTCGGTTCTAAGGTTGTTATTGCTTGCTGCAAAAATTATGCCGGTCCGTAAAATGTTCTCGCACACGGTAAAACTTAAATATGGAGGTATTACTACGCGGTATTACTTATCATATGAGTCACATATGAATTACGATTTTAATTTGTTTTAACATTACATTCTTAAGAGTCCATAATACGTTTTAAAAAAATTTCCTTATACCTTGAGGAACCTTCTCGAAAAGAGTTTGGTAGAAATAAAATCACTTTGATGGAAATTTTTATGGAAATCTCCTTGGCTCAATTTATTACGAAGAGATCGAACCACATTTGTTTTACGCTTTTCATAATAAAAAATTTACGCTCATTGCAATTTGCTACGTAGAATAAGAAATAATGCGCAATAATTCTGTGCATATTTATTAATGGATTTAATTTTTTTTGTGGAAAGGCTGTATAATTTAGCTTAGAGTTTAAATAATTCGGAAACAAATCGTCACACACAGAGGTACCGTAGTGCTCTTTTTTGGGTAGTAATTAAGGAGACGTTTTGTGTCAACCTGCTGGGAATAAGTCAAGAACCCGTGTGATTGGGATGCGAGTTCTTAAAAAACGAAAAATTAATTAAAAAACTCAATACCTCTGTATTTTTATGAGCACAATAGTTAACATGTAGTTAGATACATAAATATGCAATATTTTTAACTCAAATTGTAATGTATGTACCAAAAATTTAGATATGGGACAAATTTTTCATGTTTGACAATCTGAATTTGTCATATTCACATTTGCAATATTTGTCATATATTTTCAGAATAGTGCTAAAATTTCATTTCGTTGTTGGATTACAGAAATATGCACAAAACTAAATGACGGTAAATAAGTATTAGGAAGAATAAAGTTATAGTGGCAAAAATAACTCGGTAGTGACAAAACGTCATATTTGTCATAAATTCCAAATTTGTCATTTTTGTCATAAATGTCCGCCACAATGGAATTGTGGCATTAGAACGGTTAAATTGACGAATATGACATATATTCGCTTGCCATTGACAAGTCTCCTTCTAATTCATTTTTCATATTAAAAACCAAAAAATCGTTCGACATTAAACTACCTACATAGCGTGTTGAGTAGTTTCTCAAAAATAGAGGGTGACAAATAGTTTACAAGATATTTAGAGTGCACTAATTTCTAAATAAATGGCCTCATGGTTAAGTATACTCTTAAAATAAAGTGTTAATCGTCACGTAAGGGTGTGCATATGTCATGGGGACAATGTTTTATACCGCTTCCCGAAAGGTGACAAATTGTTACTGGCTGGTATAAAATTTAACACCATCAAGTGAGAAACATTATTCCTTGCCCGGCGAAGTCACATATGTACACCTTTTTTTGTTACGATTAATACCAGGATATTAAGAAAATGTAGTTAAGTAGGTGCACTCTTAAAAATATTGCTAACCTTTTTCAAGTAACGAACCTCTTAATTCTAAATACCGTAAGGTATACTAAATCCAGAGAAAATGTTACCCTTTATTAATTTAAAGATGGTCTGGATTTAGTAAAAAATTATTTAATGTAGGATTCAGGGTGCAGCTACTTTTCAAAATGGCAACATTATTTATAAGAGTGTAAATATAATTTAATTTTTTTCCTTATTCGATGATTGTTTTTGATTTGATGTGCGTCGTTAAAATTAGAAAGTACTCACTTTTAGTACCTCGCTAGTTTAAAATTCAATTAATTGTATTTATATTAAACTTTTATCCTCTTCCACGCATTGGGGAGAGCAATATTAGTTATATCCAATTTTTACAATTTTTAAACAAATTTGAAAATATTTAAATTTACAATTTTCCATAAATTGTAACACAAAAATCAAAACCTGGCTACCCCATTTTGTCTAGATTAGCTTTTTTAGTTGGATTTTGATCCCATGGTGTGACAAAAGTTCTTAAATAGATAATTTTTTTTAATTTGCTCAATGCGCTAGATTTTTAGTCACACTTGCATAGATTATGTTTCTTAAATTTAGTTTTTATTCTGAAATAAAATCAGCCATCACTTTGTGCACTTTCAAAACCAATATTTTTTGGAATTATGTACATACACCATTTGTACGTACTTTTTTCTCGGTTTATTTATTTTGAAAAAGCTAACACACAAAACAAACCGCTCACTAACAACCGTTCGCTGTCTTGTTTCGGTTTGCAAGAAAAATTAAAAAATTCATTCATTTTGAAACGATCCGAAACATTGTGACCCATAATCTGGTCACGGTGTAAGTAATTTTCGAATATTAAGCTATGATGGAGCAAAATTATTAGACACTTCACGTCAACCTGCGTATGCCCGTAACCGCGTAAACTTACTAATCGTAAGGTCAGGTTCCGAACAAGAAATATGCCTTTTATGTTCACAAGGTTTTGCAAGGTTCGTAAACAAAAATGCCTTCGAGATGTTCCTGAATTTTGTAAAAAGTTAATAAGTTTCGTAAGTTTGTGTAATTACGGACTTACATACATACGAAGATTTACGTGAATAGCGTCTGTATCTACATCATTTCGATTTCAGATAATTTCATTGGTAAATGATTGTGAACCAAATATTTCTAGAAACTCATCATGATAAGTTATTTATTATGCTTAAGTGCTTATTCGGATTTGGAGTTTCTAAAGTAAAAAAATCAAGTTATAATTACTTATTACTTATAATTACTTATTTATGTACTTATTAATAACCTCGTGTATGTATGTAAATATATGGGTATGGATGCATGGATGAGGTCCATTAATCGTTCACTTTCCATAGTTAAGATTAATTAATATGAGAACAAAAATAAATACCTGCACTCTTCGTATATGTGTTTTTATACGCTGATTCATTTCCGAACTTCTCGGGGACATATTTGTACGTAAGCCCATCAAGGTTTCCGGTTTAACAGGCTAACGCTTAAAATACGTAAACCTCTCAATTCTTTACATATCCAACAAATCTTAATTTGTGAGATGTTTACAAAAAAGTAAATTGCTTTTTAGCTTTTTCCAGAAGGTTGTTTTTTGATCTGCGAAGGAAATAATATAATAAATAAATAATAAATTTAGGTTGAGTTTGTACATATGCCAAAAATAGTTCCTCAGTACGGCAAATTTTTGAAATTAGACGACTTTATTCCTCAGGAACACTAATACAAATATAAATATTTAAATAATCTACCTTCAAAACAACAAGTTACTGTGTTTTATAAAAATACTTTTCAACATGTGAAAGGTACCTTTTCTTTTCCCAATAACTGTAAGAATTTTAAAATATAATATAATTATTTTGCATGGTAAAAGTAGCCCAGAACAAATTAACTAAAGAAGCGATTATCTTCCAACATTTACATACTGCGCACTTTATACTTTTGTCTAAAGAAAAGGGTTTCGCTTGGGTAGGGCTCGCCGTTAAAGGCATGATACAGCTCAAAAATCTATTCCAAAGCAAGTCAAGAGCTTTGACTGATTTTTAAAAGCTCGATTGTACGACTGTTGATATGAGTTTGATATTGGATTGAAGAAAGCAACTATCTGGGAGTGTAATGGTGAAAGAAATTTCAAAATCGGAGTAAAATTGGATTTTTGGCGTGGATTTGAGTGAGTGAAAACTGGAGTGAAAGCGTTTTTTGGGGATTTTTGAGTGGGTGTGGCGGGCGCAAA